TTAGCAAGACTATTTTCCTTCATAGAAGCCATGCTCATTAGAGCCTACTATGTATTATGATCTAGGTAGAATTAAAAACTATAGTAGCATTACTTAAACCATTATGCCAGGTATGCTCGTAGGCCTTACCGACTTGTAATTCCCCAGCTCCCCTTTGCAGGCTTTTAGTGAATGGTAGATAGTACTGGCCGCTCCAGTCACCTGACCAAGTGGTTTGTGTAATACTTGCATGTTCTTTTTTTATTGCATATTGTTTGTCCCAGTATACCTACTTTGTCCAGGCTTTGTTGAAGAAAGATCATTTAAATTGGTACTTGACTGTAGACTCCAAGATCCATGTTTTGGGGAGTATACATGACCTGACTTTCGAGGAGGCTAAATAGTTGCAATTGCTTTAGACCCAGGGGTGTTCAACCTCTGGCCTGCAAGGCAAATGCAGCCTGCGGAGCCATGGCATGTGGCCCCCGGGGCTCCCCATGTGTTATGAAATTTTGGCAGCAGGGAAGCAGTGGCCATTGATACTGCTCCCCTACCTTGCTGCCAAATTCTCAAGCCCTGTGCAGTGGGTTGAAGCCTGTTCATGCCCACTGGACCCCACAGAGCTGGATCAGTGCTGAGCCATGCCCTCCCCCTCCCCCCCAGCAGGGCTGGGTTGGGACCAGGCCAAGCCCCCTTTCCACTGCGTGGCTAGATTGAGGCTGGGCTGCCCTCGGCCCCCTCTGCATGGCAGGATGGGGTGCTGCTGTGCCTGCCCCAATTGCCAGATCAGGTCAACAGGTAAACGGGGCACTGCCCATCTAGCCTGCCAGAGAAAGGGTTTGAGTACCATAGCTTTAGACTCACTGCAGATCAGGTCACATGTCAAAGTTCAGAGTTGGATCTTAAAGGCTTAACTTCAGGCGCACGGGTTTTGGAACAATGTTGGCCTTCTCTCCCACAGATGTGTGCAAGAGTACATGCCTGATCCTTCTGTCACATGTTCTAGATTCATAGTTAATCAGTCTCATTTGTCAGTTAAATTTGGCTAGGTTGAAAATCGGCAATCTCTTCCAATTTCTAGGAAGTGGACAGTCGGCACCTAGCAGCAGTTTAACTTCTCCAAGCCATGTCAACCTGTCTCCAAATACAGTTCCAGATTTTTCTTATTCCAGCAGCGAAGATGAATTCTATGATGCTGATGAATTCTATCAGAGCAGTTCCTCTCCAAAGCGATGTGTGGAGTAAGTAGGTGGAAGAGCACAGTGCTATATTTTGGGAGTTGGAAACCTGGGGCCTGTAGGTTGGGTCTGGCCTGTGGAGCCATTCTGTCCAGCCCACGGAGCTAGAGGGAGGGCTCCTGTAACTTTTCAGTGGTGGGGAGTTTGGTGTGGAGGCCAGGCACGGGAGAAGCAGTGGCCTGGGGGAGGAAGGGCAGTGACTGTGGTTCTAGCTGCAAGCCGGGTGGGAAGTGGCTGCTAAAGGAGCCCACCAGTGCAACATGTTGCTGACCTCTGCCTTATTTAATAAGAGTTTTGTTTTCAGATGTCAGGGTTTGCTGGTGTATCAGCAGTCCCCAAGCCCTTCCTTGCAATTTGATGGTGTTTATAGTTTAAACCAGACTACCAGCGGAATAATTAAACCAGGAAAGGAATTCCAGGCTGATGCCTTTGTTAACATTTTTGTGTCAGCTTAGTTGTCTGTTTAGGGGTTTAATATTTTTTCCACATTGCTAGCCAGCATAACCATACCCAAAACTTCCATGTTGACCAACCATAAATGTGAATATTCAGGAATGATTCTTGGAAACATGAAGGTGTTTCATAATGATTTATGTATAATAATTTGTACCAGTTGGGGAAATAGTTAACTCCATAACCTTGGCCACTCATTTACTCCATTTATTCGTGCTATTTGGCGTGTTAATCAGGGTTAACTTCAAGAATTTCCCGACTAAGAAATAAGCCTTGAAATAATCCCTTTTGGGCATTTAAATAGAGTTGCCTTACAGGGTACAACCTAGGGCCCCTTTTCTGACTTGACCCAGCCATTAGCTTGCATTTCATTTGAGTTTTAACTGGTTCGCAAAGCTGCGTAGAGCACCACAGCTTCTCAATATTCTCATGTCTAAATTTCTCCATAAAAAATCCTTCTCAAGTAATTAAGCTTGGTGTAACTGTTTAAATTAAATCATAAGAGTCTGGCTTGAAATAAATTCTAGAATCATGAGAACTTGATATATCCTTTTGTAGTTCCTCAGGGTCTGCTGCTCTCCTCACTCACAGCAGCACGGGAAGTAGCCTAAAACGCCCAGACACAACAGAGTCCCTTAATTCTTCCATGTCTAATGGGACAAATGATGCAGGTAAGAGACTTGTTTTATAATATTTTTTTATAAGAAAGCACCAGAACATGAATCTGTACTTAACTGAATGTTTAATAGATGATCCTGCTGCAGCTGTTTGCCCAGAAGGAGAGTTCTGTTTGTCTCTTGTTCCTGTCCTGTATTTACATGCATGTATTTGATGATGGGATTCGTGGTCTCTCTCTCTCTCTCTTTTTCAACAAGGCCTTATCATATCTCTCAGACTTCTTTATTCCTTAGACTGTGTTAGGACACGGCTCAGTTCTTTCTGAAGGTTGTATCTCTTTGCAGGGGAGGGGGTTTGGCATTTGTAGAAGTGCGTTGATTGAGATCTGGTCCTTCCCTTTTAGATCTCTTTGATCCTCCCGATGACAGAGATGATGACGGTGAAGGGGAGTCAGTGGAAGAACATAAGAGTGTTATCATGCATCTGCTTTCACAGGTCAGGTTAGGAATGGATCTAACAAAGGTAAGACACAAGTGCAATACTTGCACATAATTCAGGTTTTCATTACAGTATTTTACTAACTGAGGGTTTTAATGATTGGGTCTTCTGGTAACATTACTTTAATACTGTTGCAACTATGTTGTTCTGCTAACTAGCTAAACTACTTAAGCTTCCTACGCATTAGTTTTTTTATGCTGTTTCTTTACTGGATTTGGCCCTGGTGTTTACTAGGTGAACTATGTTGGTATACTGTTGCAGAACTAGGGAGTCCCTGACAGCTGCTGATCAAAAACCAGACTTGATTCTTGGTAGTTTCACTGTTGCCCACCACACAACAGGGGGGAGCAGAGCTTTGTGTTACCTTGGTAACAGTCCAGTCAGTTGTACCCCTAGTGAAGACCGAGTTAACAAATCCCCTGGTCTTGTCCACCCCTGCTCTTTTGTTGTGGATAGCAGCAAAACTAACAAGGATCAAGTCTGGTTTTTGTCAGCAGCTGCCCATACTTCCAGGATTCCCAGATCCCCGGTTGACTGTCAGGCAGCCAGCCTGGCGAATTGCTTCCAGGGAGCCTGGAAGCCCAGGGTGATCAGAAGCCTTGAGGGTGAAGGAAAGCCTCGGGGTGCTGGCTCCCAACTTGCTGGATTCTTGGGGTAGAGGAGCTGGGAGAAAACCAAGTAGGCTCTGTTGCAGTCCTCTGAGGGGTCTTCTGGAAGTTGTAACAGTCTTCACTTGCATTCCTCAACGGAAAGTTCTTGTTGAATTTTTCCAACTAGCTCTCCATAATCTCTGCTTTTTAAATAATCCCCATTTGTGAGCCCCCAAAGTGCAGCACAGGGATACAGTAGGGAACAATTTATCCTGAAATGATTTCATCCAAGCCTGATGTTTTCTTGTGTGTTTGTGGCGCACATTTTGTGTTTCACAATAAGCTTGAGGAATAACTTGACTCTAACAGCAAATTTGAGAAATTTGTGTGAGTACCTTTTAAATGTGCACAGGCTACAAGCATGGAAGTGACTGACTGTCTAAATTCGTTGTACAATTCTGGCTTTGTTTTTATTCTTTTTCGTGAAAAATTCAGTTATCTTTCTTGCTCAGTAACTTGTTAGGTTGTTTCATTTTTAATTCCCTGTTTATGATGGGTTTTAGTGAAACTTGTTTAATTGCAACATTATTTGAAAATGCTTTTCAGGTGGAAAGTAAGGGAGGAGTTGCCATCAGGTCTTCCAGCGAAGCAGTGATGAGCACGGTTCTGCTTTGTCAGTGGACCTTAGGAACAGTTCGACAGCCTCCGTCGTATTTCAGGGTCCATTGTCCAAAGCTGCTAAGCACTGAGCAATTTACTCGTTAAAGTGTTACTTCCCTTTGCTCTTGTTCATACTGCCAGTCATTAGGCAGACCGCTTGTACAACTTCTTCCCCTTTTTCCAAAAGCTGCTTTTAGTTTTGCAGTGCTGGTATTGTTCTTCTCAACAGCATGAACATAACATGAAGAGGAAAAGGATTTTAAAAATAACTAAGGCTCTTGTTTCACTTACCATCAGGGCACAGTAAAGTAGGCAGGTCTTCAGACCCTCCTGCAGATCCTGTTTCAGTCTGGCTTCCCCTGAACAGCAAACGTTTCCCTGACAGGCTGACTTTTTTTCTTTGTTTTCAAGTTGCTAGTGCACTTTTGTTCTCTAGTATTGGCCCTCCTTGGCAAAATAAACCAGCTTTGTGTATGTTGCCTGGAGCCAGAAAGTAAAACCTTCCAAGCTAATAATTTAGCATTGGCTCTAACGACCGTAAGTATTAACTGGAAGGTAGTTAAGTCTAGGACAGGAAATAACGCTCCTTTTGTTTCCTCTTTACACCTGCTCTTCCCCCACTTCCTTCCCCATTAAACTAAGGTAGAATCTGTTCATGGCAATAACCAGGTCAGGCCAGTGCTTGTTAAAGAACTGCTCCAGTTGTCAGGATATTGAGAGCTTGTGTTTCTTGTTTAGCAGCTGTCTGGCAGTGTGGCTTGCCTGTAGGTATTCATTCAGTCATTACAGCGCAAACCCCTTGTGCAGTGTTTTGTCTCCCAAGTACTTTATGACTGCCAGTGCAAGCCTTGGCAGTTGAAAAGCTGTCGAAGTTTTTGTGCAGATGCTAAAATACCTAACTTCTGACAGACGATTTTTCCCTCCTCAGGTGGTTCTCCCAACGTTTATTCTGGAGAGAAGATCACTTTTGGAAATGTATGCTGACTTCTTTGCACATCCGGATTTATTTGTGAGGTATTTGACTTGTCGCGTTAATTGATTCTGATACTGTTTATATAGACTCTGCGGTATGTCAAGAGATCATTGACTGTTTGAGGAGCATGTTTGTTCTCAATCCAAACTATACAAAATGCATCTAGGTATCTCAGACTCAGCCTGCTAGTTCAGTAAAATAACTGCACTTTTCAGTATAAGGTTAAAAAAAATACTTAGAGCATGAACATGAGTTTGTTTCAGGCAGCTTTGACTGCTTTTCTTGCTGACACTTTTTTTATTTTTCCTTTATCCTCCCTCCTTTAGTATTAGTGACCAGAAGGATCCAAAAGACCGAATGGTGCACGTGGTTAAGTGGTACCTCTCAGCTTTTCATGCAGGAAGAAAAGGATCTGTTGCTAAGAAGCCTTACAATCCTATTTTGGGTGAAATCTTTCGATGTCATTGGGTATTACCAGGCACTGAAAATGAGGATGACACGGTTAGTTTTGTGGTCAGTGTTTTTTTTTCTGCTTGGGACATGGTAGTAACTTCACTCTTGGTTACCTTATGGACTAGAATGGTTTGTACAAGAGGCAAAACTTGTACAGTTCTTGGCTTGTAAGGCAGATTTTTCAGATGTCTTGCATTACATGCTGAATATAACCGCAGGAGCTTTTCCTGAGAATCCTTTATCATGCAGGAGATGTTGTTCATTACATGTCTTTGCTTAAAATGTGAATTCCTTGTTCTCTGAGACATGGCATTTAGTTATGTCTGTAATCCCTTGTGGGCTGGCAACAGAGGGTTGGTTTCCAGGAATGACTCCACTTGTACTTGAGCAAAAGCTGGTCCCCCAATTTTGTGACCAAAGCTGGAGCAAACTGGGAAAGAGCAGTCTGTGTCTGCTTTTTTCTGTGCACAGACCTAAGCAGGAGGAGGATGCTGCATATGCATAATATGCAGAGGCCACAAGTGTCACCTTCTCAGATCCTTCACTCGGACTCCTTCAACCTGGGAAAATCTAAGCAGAGGGGTGGAAATACAGGGATTCTAGATGGTAAGATGTGATCTTGGAGGTCACTTGAAGTACTTACCTTCACTAGAATAGCTGAGATGCTTCAAACTTTTATTGCCACATCCTTGGTAGGGGCATGTTGAGAGCAGGTCCATTTTACAGGTGGAGAACTGAAGCTCTAAGATTGACGCACTCAAGGTTTTATGCATGGAACTTAAAGCCTAGATCTTATTTCCCCACCTGCTGTTGAAATTTTTGTTCCAGTATGTAGCCCTTTTTTATATGCGTGAACAAGTATTATTAGGAGTGGTAGCGAGACCTCTCGAGCAGAACTTAATGAGAAACCAAGTAGGGTTAAAAGGCTGTTTAGAAATTGGGTTTTACCCAACTGCTTCTGTGCATCTTTGGTTTCACCTGTCAGGTTTTTTTTTGTAGAATGATAACTCTAAATCTGATAGACTACAGAAATTGGGATGTCTTTCAAAATTCCAGGGACCAATGTAAAATGTTCAGGCTGATTTGCGTAGATGCCTAAGATGGTGCCAAGTGCTGATTTTAATTTATTTATTTGTTTTTTGTGGAAGCTGAAAGTGTCCAAAAATGGTCCCCCATGTCAAATGAACTCTTTGCTTGTTTGCAGGAGCCAGTGTCAGAGGGACCAATCCCTTGGGTCAGCAGAAACACTGTAACATTTGTGGCAGAGCAGGTTTCCCACCATCCTCCAAGTGAGTTGATTTAAAAACTCAGTCTTGAACATCTGGGCAGGAACTGGGGAACAGTGAAGCCAGTTTTGACTTTTAGCCTTGAACAAATATGTTTTGTTTTAATGATGGCTGAGTTTTAAAACTGAAATATTCTCTGTAGATTGTTCTTCTGGGGGAATGATGAATTCCATACTGACAACTAGTATCTCGATATAATATTCATGGTCCTAATACCAATTTTTGGTTATTGTAAATGTCTTGCTCTGTTTTGTTAACACTTTTCTCCCTCCTTAAGTTTCAGCATTTTATGCCGAGTGTTTCAACAAGAGGATACAATTCAATGCTCATATATGGACCAAGTCAAAGTTCTTAGGAATGTCTATTGGTGTTCACAATATCGGGCAAGGTATGTACATGTATAATTGAAAAGTAAACTCTAGACTGTGAAGAAACTAATCCAAGAATGTTAATACATTTTGCTGGAAAGCTATAATCTTACTGGGCATGATGAATGTGCTTTATTTATCATTGCTCTTTGTGCATAGTATTGTTTGAATGCTGATCTCGGTAAGCAGCCTGTGGACTGGGTTCCACTTCATTCAGTTGGTCCCTGACTCACTCAAGGCCTGGACTCCAGTGCTTTGAATATCCATCACTTACCCGTCCTCTGGCGTTTGTGGGCGAATGCTTAAACACCTCCAAAATCAGACCATTACCTGTGTTTTTCTGAGATACCTGTTTGTTAGTGTTCTAAATCTCAATACTAAAAGTGCTGCTGGTCATAGTAAAAAAAAAAAAATCTTGTCTTTCATAGGGTGTGTTTCATGCCTGGACTATGATGAGCACTATATTTTGACTTTCCCCAATGGTTATGGAAGGCAAGTTAAATGCTGTATCTATTTTTCTGCAAACATTATTGGAATTGCATTGAGCCACTGTTTTTTTTTTTGTGTGGTTTTTTTTAACAAGGCCTAATTCTGCTTTATCATTGCAGATCGATTCTCACAGTGCCATGGATAGAGCTGGGTGGCGAGTGCAATATTACTTGCTCAAAAACGGGCTATAATGCTAGCATCACTTTCCACACTAAACCGTTCTATGGAGGAAAGAAGCACAGGGTCACAGCTGATATTTTGTAAGGCTCCTTATCTTGTCCAGCTGACCTTTCTCTTTATAGAAATGCTGACAGTTCTTTATAGAAAGAGAAGTTTAGATGGCTGTGTTCATTATCTAGCTGTAGCAAAAGATTGCTTCCAGTCATTGTTATAGCAGCAGTGCTAATTATGGATCGCCAGACTCATAGGGATCTCAGGTTAGGGTGGGGGAGATGCTGCATTAATGTAAATCTACTCCTCCCCTGCTCTAGAGTTGTTCCTGGCCACTTCTTGCAAGAATAAAAAGATTTTGGCCATATACTTGAATAGTATTTTTATTTTTTTACCCTAGAGATTTTGCTGCCATTGGGAGCATTTTTTTCACTACAGCTCCCTAAGAGAACTTGTATTTAGTGTATACTGGTCTTTGGATTCCACCCAGATGCTAGTAATTTTTAGTTTTGTAGTTAAATCTGGATTAAGATAGACTATGTACGTGAGGCTTTCTCTGTTAGTTTTTTCTACCTTCCTTTTTTCCCAGCTTAAATCATAGCTGAAAAATTAGTTTTAAGCTCTTCACTGCAGCAACTGTCTTTTATTTTGTGTTAAATCAGAACCTAGTATAAGGAAGTCCACTGTCTTGATTTGGGGCCCATACTATAATACAAATTGGAGGCAGGAGGTGAGTTTGACAGGGGCTGGGTACTAGATTGTTAGTTTAGGCCATATTTAGCAGCTTGTATATGAATGAACTCTGTTCCAATACTGTCAGTCTGCAGCTGGCACTTTTAGAGAGGCCTAGGAGATTTAGGTGCCAGACTCCCTCTTCAGCTTCTTGGCAAGCCTTCCCCGGTACTACTTTCCATCAGACATTGGTTTTGTTTGTAGCTTTTTTGGGAATTGCATTTAGTCTCACTGGATGTGTATAGATTGGGGCACTGGTGCTGACAAGCTGCATGCATAGTGCAAGTCCTGTCTTAAGTTGATAGACCACACTTTCTCCTTGAGAGGGCAAGATATACAAGTGCATTTACACAAGTTTAAAAAAAAAAAAGCATAGATTGTCTACTCATTCCTTTGTCCTAGTAGCCTCTCTCCCATGGCTGTTCATGCTACACACTCTTCAGGCCAGAGACTGTCTGAAATATACTGTTTTCTTGCATACAACACTTGTTTTTGAAAGGCAGAATGAAGAAAAAATTCCAGTATTTTAGTTGAATAGAGCAGGGACAGCCTAATCTTCAGCTGACTCACCCTCCTCTCCCTGATTAGGCTGTGAAATAGGAGGAGAGAGACCAGGAGCAGCTGGCAGACGACAAAATTGCCATAAGAAAAGTTAGCTTGATTAGTGGAACATCAAGAGCATTAGAGGAGAGGGCTCTTAACACCTGTGGAGTAGAGAACAATGAAAGGTTAAGTCAATTGACTTCCTCAGCTGCTGAATAGTAATGCCAGCTTCTGCACTGTAGAGCAGGATCCAAAACAGTGCTTCTCTCCTGGGCAGAAAATCACTTTCCTTGCTTAACACATACC